AACAAAAAACAAACTAACTATATCAGGTGGTTAGGTAAATATTTAGCGATGGTTGAGTGGAAGATGTAATAGGGACTAACTAAGCACACTTTACAAGGTTAGAGGTCAGCATATTGTTTGCATGTTCAAAAACTATGAAGCAAATTAATAGCTTGGCTCGGGTCTTTTTTAAGTCTTAAAGCTACATGTAGGTCAAGAAAGCCCTTCGTGTCTTATTAAACTATCAAACTGAACATGGTACACAGCAAATGCCAAAAGCAAAAGCATGTTCGTCTCCATTTCAGTTGACTTGTGTTCACATAAATAAAACACTCAATAATTGCAAATTAGTTCCTAAAAAAGGCACCTGCTTAAGATTACTAGTAAAGAAAAACAAATAAAATCACACAGGCAATGCCAGCAATGATAGTCCAAACATACCTCAGCTAAGCCTCCGGAGGTAACTTCTACCGAAAGAAACGTACGCGTATGATCATCATTGACGAAAACCTCCCACTTGTTAAAATCAATCCAATATCTGTCCCAAGAACATCAATAATTAAATGAGCTGCCTAAAAATCTAATAATAAAATATAATTGCCTAAGTAAGATTCTTCTAACCTCCTATGACCCTGCAGCCGCTGCCGGAGCATACCCACCACTGAGTCTCGTTGATGTACCCGAATTGGGACAGTTCTTCCCAAACTCACATGAAATTCCCTCCCCAACACAACTTGCTCAAATTTATGCTCGTCTTTAAGTAATTTACTCAAGGGCATGTCTACATCGACAGCATGAAGGTCCCGTGCTAAAGATGCCACTCTTTTCACAAACAGGGCCAGCTCCTTTCTTTGTGCCAATGGTACAGTGACTAAAAGCACCAAAACAACTCTTTCAAGAAAAAATAAAAAAACTAATCTTTCATGTTGAAACTGAAACAAATAGCAAAACAGTACCAGGGATGTAAACATGCAAAGCAAAATTGCCCTCTACATGAGGGAAGCTACGGATTCGATTGGGATTGTTTATTTGTAGCGAGAAATCAGAACTGCCTGACCCGGTCAAAACATCAAACAGTTGGCAGGTGTGAGCCAAAAGAGAAAATGGGAGATACTCAAAACGTGTGAATAAAAGGGTATGCGATACAATCACCTGATGTGTTCGGGGCATGGAGAAGAGAGATTGGAGGTGGAGGGAGAAGGGTGGGTGAATGGGTCGGTTCAGGTTCACGGGTCGGGCGAGGAGGATCCGACTCGGTGTCGGAGTCGGATGACGTGTCGCCGTACGAGGCGATCAAGGCATCCATCTTACCAGTTGTTGATTGATCGCTCAATTCCGACAAAAACCCGGCGAAAATGAGATTCAGCGGTCTGCTGAGTAAAATCTGCAACAGAAAGGTGAGATTATGAAGTCATCATCGTATAATAATGTTGTAATTTCCGTTTGAGTTGCAACACACGAGCAGTGATTTACGAGATAAAAAATGATTTTGTTTTATATGTATTTTTTCAAAAAAATAAATATAAATTTAAAATAAATATATATATTCAAAACATAAATAAAATATTAATATTTGATAATATACATTTATTTTTTGCTAAAAACCACTCAAGTTATGTTTGATAAAATTGATAGTTCATAGCTTATAACTTATAAGTTATGTTTGATAAATTAAGCTGAAAAACTAGTTGATAGCTTTCAATTAGTCCGTCCAAACCTATGACTATATTTTTTTTTTTTTATAATGAAAAACAATGATTTCAATCAACAATAAAATTCATAAAAACAAGAATTATATATTAAGTATTTTTTTCAACATCTAAAATCAGCTTTTTTTTCTCTCTTTTTGTAATTGTGGAAACAATACCACATAACTACTTTTTTTATTATTTCTCTTTTTTATTATCTTATTTATTTTATTTCAAGAGTATGTTCACGTTTTCAGTTTCATATTTTGCTTAATCCTTAAAGGAACCTGGAAACTTCATTAAAAAAAAATTGAAAAACTCATTTAACTTATTAAAAAATACTGTAACATTCATTAAACCCGTTTAATTTGGAATATTTGACCCTACTCGATAGACAGTGGTCACCACCTTCATCACCACAGGATCATAGCACAACTCGTTCAATTCTATGAGGTACTTGCATTCATTTTTTTATTAATTTATTAGTTAAGTAGGTAACTGTTATCATGTTTACTATAATTTTATTTTATTTTTGGGAACATATGACATTTAAAATAAATTATTCATAAATGAATTATAAACCAATAAAAATTGTAATATATAAACCAATGAAAAAAATAAATTGCTAATCAATTATTCATAAAGCAATGAAAATTAATATATTTGCAATTGAAAAACAACATTTAGTGCATTAAAAACAAAAAACAAAAAAAGAAAGAAAGTGAACATCTTGAATAACTCACACCAACTTGGACACACATTCATTAACCCAGGTTTATGACGTACTCGGCCCAAAACTTAAGGTGTAATTGGGCTTTTTGTTTCTAAATTAAAAAGGAAATTGTTAATTGACAAAAATATAAAAAATGACATTATTCCAAAGTCTGGACATTTTGTGCGAATTTTATTTGTTTATGTGATCACACAAGGAAGTTGGACAGCTGAAGTATGAAAATGTAGAATATATATATATATCAAGTAAATAAAAAAAAAAAAAAATCAAAGATCAAAATTGAACATTGCATGTGGGTTTATGACTAGGAAATAAAATAAATGGAATCCGAGCTGTATGTTATGTTGGTGGAATTGGAATAGAAATGTCCAAATGCATCTTCGCCTATTATCAGCCATCATTTTGGTCTGTGAAAGTCCAANTGATTCAGTTGAAATAAAATCCTCAATAAACTTACAACTTATGGTTGATAACTAGAAAATTAACTAATGTAATTAATAAAAATTTTTGTTAAAATTATCCAGTAAATCAATTAACAAAAACGTCAACTAACTTGTTCAAAATGCTGGTTAGAGAAGCTCAGTGATAAGCTCAGACTTTTTTTAAAGAAATCATCTTATTCGTTCCTCTCCCCTTTAGATTCGAGAACAGCCTCAACTTATTAAATTAAATTTATTTAAATAAAATAAACTTATAATCTTAACTAATAAACGTAACAGTTGGATAACTACAAAGGCGTGTCAACTTGTGAGCTGTAGCAGTCTGTGATTTAGATGGGCCAGATAAAGTAGATTGAGGGCCAAGTTGTTATCTGTAGCCCTGTCTATGGGTTTTGATGGGCCAGATAAAGTGGATTCTCAAAGCAATATAGGCCCAGTAATGTCAAAAAATCTGAACCGCCATTTGCATTGGACTTCAGATATTTTGGCCACATACAAGTAATGCGGAAAACACGCTTGCCCAATAATGAATCATATAATGTTTTTTATATATAAAACATTACACAAATATATTTCATAGTCGATCATAATAATAATAAGTCATTTAAAAGTAAGTAAGTAAGTTTTTTCTTTTTTCTTTTTTTTTTTCCTACCATGACCTAAAATAGAGATTTCTTGTCACCCGAAGATTATTTTTGTCCGTCTCCTGTCTCTTGCAAAACCTTTAGTTATGACAAACTTATCAGGAACTCTTTTAAGATAAACCGTGATAAGACAAACTCATCACACTACTTTTATGATAAATTAAACACTGATTAAATATAAGCGTTTACTTAATTCATATTTGTATGATAATTACTATAATTCAAATTCTTATTGTATTATTTGGAATTGGATCTAAATCAGACCCCGTTATATAGCCAATATTTTACATGCAATGCAAGTATAGAAGATTAGCTCAACTTGTGAATCAATTTTTTTTAACCACGTGTGCACAAGCATGTATAATTTGTCGATTAAAAAGTTGAAAATATTTTCTGTTTTTGGTAATACTCATTTCTTATTATTTTATATGTAAATAACTGATTACTGATGTACATATAAAACTGTTTAACATCAATCAAAAATATTAAGTGTATGAGCGATATCCAACGTAATAGTCATGCACGCTTGAGGTGGTGATATTTTGATGAGACAGTATATAATGCATATCACTATCATGCACTATGTCTATAGAGCACTCAACATCCTTGGGCTCTTCAAACTTCACCCACATTCTACATATCTCATGATGAAAGATGTCCGAATTTTTTTTTTTTTTTTTTTTTTTTTTTAAAGGTTTTGGTTTTTATAGAAATGAGATTTCTTACAGACGTTTTTTCCCCTTAAAACACGTTACTTTTAATTTTTAGTCTAAATGTACATAAATTACCTTACCCAGTTTTCTACTGATGATAGTACAGTTTGCGTTAATTCATCGTAAAAAGTTGATAATTAGTATTTGCAGATGTAAATTAAAAAATTGACAAGGATAAAAAGTCTGTATATTTGGAAACCTAATCAAACAAATACTGATTCTTCTTCTTTCTTAATTGTCACCAACACTTGTATTGTTTCTTCACGAGACCACGTTTTTTAATGGGAAAAAAGGTGGATTAATTTCATTTTCCAGCATTAAGTTTTGTCTCTTTCCAAAAAAAAATACCTAAATTTGATGCATGTCGAACTTAGTACACTAATTTATCAAGAAAAAATTACTTTTGCAGTTTAGTTACCAATAGTGATGATTTTTTTGGTACACTAATTTTCTAAATTGACATTTTTTATTTATGATATATACATGTCATCTACTAATTTTGATAAAGGTCAAATTAGTGTATTATTTTCAAAAAAAAAAAAAAATTGGATTAATAAAATGTAATTTTTTATGAAAGAAAGTGGTGGTACCATGGTATATGGATAGAGATAATTCTTTTGGAAGAAATCTCCCCTTACATGACAAGTGCACACCCAAAATCCCTTAAGCCTTAAACACAAATATCCTCATTATAATTCCCCCACCACTATATATAATGTGGCTGCCTCAATCAATTGCCAAACTCCAATAACCACAAGTCACTATAAAAACCTCACCACCTTTCATAATTATAATCCAATTAACACCCATATAAAATAAAATAAACAAATAATAATAATAATGATGAAAATAAGTCGCATAGTTTTCCGATCCTCTTTCATTCTCCTTCTCTTGGTCTCCATGAAATATTCCATCCCGTATAAATCCGGTGAGGATAATAAGCCCACTGACGACTCATCCGATATGCCATCCGAGCCCACTGGAGGTAGCGGCTCGGCCCATGGGCAAAATTGGGCCTATAGATGGGGCTGGGGCGCGAGCCCAACATCCGGATGGGGTTACGGGTCGGGCTGGGGTAGATCCTCTAATGGGTATGCAAGGGGAACCGGCTTTGGGTTTGGTTCGGGCTCTGGATCCGGGTCGGGTTCTGGCTATGGCTATGGTAGCGGCGGTGCTCGTGGAGAAGGCCATGGAAGTGGCGGAGGCGGCGGCTCTGGCGGAAAAGACAACAACCAAGGATGAAAATATAAGGGTTAATTTTAATTTTAAATATTTATATATTGGTGTGATTGTCCGGTTAATTTGTGGTAGTAAGACTAATAGTGTGCGAAATTAAGTACTTGTTTTTATTACAAAATAGCATCAGATATGTATTGGTGCAATAATTATGTGCTGTGTGTAATGTAATGTGTGGTACGTTTGGTGTGATTAATTAATTAGTTGATATGTGTTGTCCGACTACTATTGTGTGTTTTCATTTAATTTTCTTGTCTAATGTAATAATTATGTGAATCGTCGGTTAATTGGTAATTTTAGAGTTTATTTCGAAATTTCGTTTCTAGTTAATAGTCATGCGAAGCTAAGTGTTTATATTATTGAAATTGAACGTGTAATTTCATGGGTAAGGCTATAGTCCCGTTACGGAATTATTCTGTTGGGATTTTTAGCCGTTAGATGCACATGCTATAGTAACTTATATATTCATTTAATGGTTACAAATCCCAACGGAATGGTTTCGTAACGCGCAGGACTGTAGCATTTTTCGTGTTTCATCCACCTTATATATAATTTTTGTAATTTTTTAATGTGCGGGCAGATTTGCATGCTTTGGGATTCTATTTGTAATATTTTTATGTATTGAATTATACATAATTAGGTTCAGATGTCATGTCAAATGTCTATTAGGCATGCTTATTTACATAACACTTTAAATATTTTCTTTTATTGAAACAATTATTATTTATTTCATTCCATATTTTTTATTCTATAGTTATCATAGTATTTTTTATTTTTTTCTATTAAATATCTTCACTAAATCAATCATATTAATTTATTTTTCAACATTTCTCTCCAATATTCATATTTTACACATTTCGAAGATGAAATAATATGAGATTATTCTTTTAAAAATATTATTTATTTAAAATTTAATTGGTATGTTGTTAATCTATTAAAAATAAATAATTAATTATCCTAACTCTAAAATTACATATAAAGTTGAAAAATAAAGTTTGACATCCGAATTCCAAATTATATATGAGTGTTTAACTATTATTGATTAATAAAAATATTTTTTGAGTTAAAACACAAAGGAATGTTTTATATAAAATTAAATTATTTTAGTTTTAAATAAAATTTTAAAATAAAAGTTTTAATATTTTTATATGTGTTTCTTAATTCAACACCTATGCAATACACATGTATTGTACTAGTTATTGACTTAGTATAGAGGTGAAAAATAAATGGAATAAAATATTGTAGTAAATATAATATTATGCATCAGATTTCGAGGTTGGTTAACAATTTCAGTTAAGATGATTTGAAATGAGTTTCACTATCTAATCCATGAGCTGGTATGCCCACCAGTTACTACTATGATATTGAAGATTATCATCATACACGATATGTATGTAATTGTAAAATTACAAATTTGATATTTTATTTTGATTTATTTTCATAATGAAATCATTGTAGATTATATCTCTATTACATAGTATGACATATAAACTATAATGAATTTATATATTGGCAATGACCAATCAAATGTGTTTAATTAATAATATTAAGAAAATTTAAATTATTAATACATAGCCAAAAGTTTTAGGATGATTGATTGGGTTATTTATCTAGTTAACATAAATAAAAACACAACTAGTGCAGAGCCCCGTGCAATGCACGAGGTGCATAATTTTAAAGCTATTTATCCAAACTTATAATTATATACATGAATTAAAAAAATGTACGGGATATATATTATGCGTGACCCGTGCGAGACACGAGATATATTTATTTAGAGAATATTATATTATAAGATGCAATATTAAATAAAAGTTTTATAATACGTAGGAAAATTGTACAATAAGATAGTATTGGACAAAAAAACAATGATATATTATTAAACACCTCCTTGTACACAACATTATGGGTTTATTTATTTATTTTTTTTTACCGATTTTATGAGAAAAACAATTCAAAATATGCACCTTTTTTTTTCCTAAAACACATGATATGAAATTGATCTGCATCTACTCCCGTTTTTTTCTTATAAAATTCTATTAAATTGATTTGAATATAACCCATCAAAGCTCAAGTTTGTAAATTAAAAAGTAAGTATCCGAGATTGAAGGTGTCTTTAAATATTTCTTCTCCGTAATTGAAGGCATCATTAAATATTTCTTGATTAATAAATAAATAAATAAAAACTTTCCCAAAATTGCATGCAATTAATGTTTTTAAGTTTTACTTCTTACTATTTTTCATAAATGTTAATTCTTATTATATATATAGATATGTTATTATTGATGACATGTTATATGTATATATATGTATATATATGAAATTATTTTACTTTTTAAAAAAAAATGGATAGAACCTTACTTGTGTATATATGGTAAAAACATTGAACGCATAATATTTTATATTAATTTGTTTATAAAATTTAGATTATATACATTAATAAATGATATCCGTGGCCTAACTGCAGGTGAAATCATAATTAAAAGCCCGTTTACTAACGGAAAATGTGTTTTTTACGTGTTTGTTTAGTATTATGTTATTGTTTGTGTAGAATTTGATAATTGCATACGTGTTTTTTACGTGTTTGTTTAGTATTATGTTATTGTTTGTGTAGAATTTGATAATTGCATACGAGCTTTATCACCGTTGATTTTTACATATAAACAGACATATATACACACCAAACATGTGTGTGTAAAATCAACGGTGAAAAGGTCATTGGAGCAGTGTTCCCACTAGCTGGCCGATTTTACGTTCTACATAATTTATTTAATAATTCATGTTAGATCTCTAATTTAAATAATGTATCATTTTTCATGCTTGGTAAGAATGAGGATTTTTATTTACAATAAAGAACAATTTATTTTCACTAATATTAATTAATAATTTACTATATGTATGATTTCCAGCAAAGGATGCACTGGTCTCAGCAGTCAACTATTGGCACAAATCTCTGCTTTAAATGAGCTAAATGCTTTTGACCTCTTTATCCTATTTATGATGTGAAATCCTAAAAGGCCAAATCTTCATACATTTCAACTATTATTTAGAAATAAAATTCACCAATCCATAACTATATTGTTCATGTCCTATTTCATACCACATAATTTACGTGAGTTNTATAAACAACAGGGGCAACATTTAAAAAAAAAAAAAAAATTAAATTAAATTTATTATAATTATTTTTTTGTTCAACTGAACCAGCTAGCTCATATTCAACCCGATTTATTTCCGCGTTTACCTCATGCTACAACTATATAAATAGCACACAACGAAAACTCTTTTAGCATCATCATGTGAAAACCCAAACATTTCAATTTTCTCACAATGAAGCTCTATCATTATGTATATAGGCCTCAAAGTTAAAACAAATTTATCCTCTGAAAAACAGAATAAAACAAAACAAAAATATCCGCTCGGTTAATTTCTAGAACTCATAGTCCATCAATATGGCAGAGTTGCAAAGCTCTGATGTGATGATGAAGATCATAAGATTCCTCTCTTCCCTTCTCCAAAGAGTTGCAGAGACCAACGACTTGTTTGGCTCATACAATTCTCGAAAAAATTCGATTTTTCACGGGCTGACTAGGCCCGCAATCTCCATACAGGGCTATCTCGAGAGGATTTTCAAGTACGCGAATTGTAGCCCGTCTTGTTATATCGTGGCCTACATTTATCTTGACCGGTTCACGCAAAAACAGCTTTCGATGCCGATTAACTCGTTCAACGTGCATCGACTTCTCATTGCCAGCGTATTGATTTCCGCAAAGTTCATGGATGACATGTGAGTTAATTTTAATTTCTTTTATATTTACTTAATTATTTATCACCTTTATATATATATAATATATATAATTTTTTTTTTCTTTAAGAAGTTATTGTGCATTTTCTTGAGTTGATGCAGATCTTTGTTCAAGATTGGAATGTAATTGTTCGAAATTTGATTAATAGTCATCATGTTTTCTGAGACATGAATAGAATCTGTCTATGGTCAATGAAGTTGATTCTAGGAGCCAATTGTGTGTATATACACATATATAGAAAAGATGTATATAATTTCTGAATGGATGTGATAGAATTTGAGTATTTTTTTTTCGAATTTCTAATTATAGAGGTCGTATGGTTAGGCAACAATTGCTCCACACCGTCGCTTATAACTTATAAAGTACAGAAAGCCGAGCGTTGTTCTGATTTCAAAGCAATATTTTCTTCGTCCCAAATAAAATTAAATACTCTCTCCTATTCATAATAAGTGTCGTTTTGAAGTTGCACACTAATTCAGAATAATTTTTTTACCAATAATAATCCTCATTTAATGAAGATAGAGATGGATGTTTTAAAAAAAAAATGAAGAGAATATAAAAAGACGTAATGTATTTATTAACTAAATGAGGATAATAATGAAAAAATATGTACAAAAAATCCAAAACGATATTTATTTTGGTTAATAATTGATAAAGCCAAAATGACATTTAAAAAGAATAGGAGGTAGTAATAAATAACTAGGTCAACTTTTCACATAGTTTTTCTGATCATTCAGGTTAAATTAAGTCAAAATCCCTCCCTATATATTAATTCAACATATGTTGAACATAAGTGACAAATTTTCACGCTTCGGATGTTGATATGACGAAAATCTATGCTTCGTAATGTTGTTTATATATTTATTTTTACTCTGGAATTAGACTTTGTATTAGAAATAAATAACTTTTTTCAATCTTGTTAGTGTATATTTAATTTTGTTATTTTTTTCTATTAGTACACATTTCCTTCTTAGTTTGAGCAAATAGCAATCTTATCATATTATAATTGTCTCTCATATTTATCTCCTAAATTACGATTTACAAATAACTTTTTGCACTGTCAATTCCTATTCTTTTTCATCAATTAGTCCATCAAAATTTTTAAATAAAAGATTTATTTTAGTAATAATTTTTATTATATATTTCTTAACTCAACACCTGTGTATTACGCGGGTATTGTACTAGCAGAAGAAAGAAAAAGGAGAAAAAAATAAGGGAATAAAATGCTAATTTGGGTAAAAACTAAAAACTGGATGAACTACGAAGCAAAAAAGTCATTTGTTTTTAACACAAAGCCACCTAAGGTTTGGTGTCACATATATTCTCTCCCTGTGTGTGTGCGTGTGTGCAGTAATTGTGTATGTTTGACTTTATAAATTCAAAAGGTACAAAGGTTTGACTTTACATTATTTTCTCAATTACTTTATTCTATTTTGATGTTTGACAGCCCATATAACAGCATAGTTGATAGCATTGTCATTTTGTAGTGGGTTGTCTCTTATCATTAAAAAAAAGTAACGAATTAAATTCAGAGTAAATGTGCACATTTTATGCATATGCTATTTTAACACACCCACAATGATACATATAGACATTTTTTTATTAAAAAATATAACATATTGATTTATCCAACAATTAAGCCGCATAGCAATAATATTTGTGACTTATTTCTATTTTATTTTTCTTATGACTCATTTAGGAGGATGGTGTTTGTTAAGCAAATAAAGACTTGTTTGTAAAATTCTTATAGCTATTCTTCATCATTAGGACAAATGTGAAATCTCATGGTTAGTCTAGCCAAACAATAAAGTAGAAGAATAAACAAAACCCAAACACATATAGGGAAATGCCCAACTCAAAGCATGCTCAAAAGAAATCCAAAAATTCAATGTTCACATATATGTGAGCCAACAACTTCTCTATAGCTCTGCCTCAATAAAAAAGAAACAACATTGTAATAACAACTCAAACTCTACATATTTTTTTTCATTAATATTGGCTTTAGCATGATGTATTTTCCTTTTTCTTCTTTCTTTGGTTCATGCAGATACTACAACAATGCATACTATGCCAAAGTTGGAGGCATAAGCACGGCTGAGATGAACCTTCTAGAAGTCGACTTCTTGTTCGGCATGAGCTTCCAATTGAACGTGTCGACCTCAACATTTCATCACTATTTAAGGGAGATGATCTTCCACCTTCCTCCCATTATTTATGCAGCCCCATCACTCAATATTGGCACCAAACCGAAGCTTCAATTTTGTGTAAACGAAGAAGGACACACAACTCATCATCAACACCAATTAGCAGTCTAATTAGCTGGCTCTCGCGGTTTTTTTGATCCATAATTTTGATTACATTTGACGGAATAGAATTTAGAGCCAAGATAAAAGAAAGTTTAATCCCACTGATCTATTTTTGTCACGTATCTTTTAGCAAACAATCGGGTTTAGTTTCTTTTTGGAACGATAACCGGATTTGACTTTTTATCAGGAAATAGTGTTACAATTTGATTGGATGGATTCATATTCAAGGGTTTTTCCCTCCTTATTTTGAGTCGGTGGAAATACCGAAACAGAGTTGTCAAATTGGTCAAGATATTGTAGTCTACCGAAACAGAGTTGTCAAATGCCATTTTACACTAGTTTTATTTTATTTTTTTCTTTAGCTGAAACTATTTGATTATAGAATTAATATCAAGCTCAATATGTTTGCACAAAATAAAATCAACTCATAAAATTTGTAACTTTTATACTGTGGTATTGCCGGATTGTATCCGCTGGATTTTTACAAATGATCCCACCTCAAAGCATTAGCAGAGGACAAAGTTCTCAGCGCACAAAAGAGATGATGAAATTTTATAATAATCCAACTTTTCCCCTTGTTTGTTTAGGTGTGCTTAGTTGGTGTAATGTTGTTCTTAGCCATGTTTGGCTATTTAGTGGGCTTTCTCTAGTTCCTAGGGATATGCAGTATGCTGTGTCACTAGTTCGTTAACTCATGAAATGAGTATCCCCAACAAAAGTGTATTGAGGTATTTAATATATTTGTTCGTTTTNAAAAAAAAAAAAAAAAAAAAAGAAAACAAATAACACTATTACATGAACATCTACATTTAAAACTTAAAAATAGGGCTGAGTACGGTACTCGGAGAATTCCAAACCATTCCGGAAGCCGAACCGAAAAATAACTGTTGACCATTTGACTTTCTCTGAACCGAACCGAACAGAAAAAATAATTGGTACGGTTCAGGAGATTTCATAAATATCTATATCGAGAACAGAACCCAAAAACTGAATTATAAGAATATATTTATGTCAACTTTGATCGTATATAATTTAAGAATTTTTGAAATACAAATAAAATATATTAATAGTAATTATGCTCCACTTAATTTCATTCTTAGTAATAGTAATACTTGATTTACAACTAAATTTTTCCTGTTTAAAAATAAATTTAATATGGAATGAAAGATTAAAGAAATATTTTTTTGAAAAATATTTAAACTTTATATAAATTTGTCGATACTTAGTCTTATTCTATCTTAACTAACATGATATGAAGGGTTAAAGAAATATTATTTTAATAAAAACTATATTTTATTTTGTTTAAATTTTAAATTTTCAATGTTAGTAGCACAAATATAGAATTGATTAAAATTGATTTAAAAATAAAATCTTTAGTATGTCAAAGTATTGATGAATGTTGAATTTAAAAAAAGAAATATAAAAATTAAAATATAATTAGATGGTCATTCAAAAAGAATTTAAAATTAATTAAAAATTTCTGAATATCCGAACTGAATCAAATCGAACTGAACTGTTCCGATAGTCTCGAATACCGAACCAAATCGAAAAATAAAAATCTTCAAACCGAACTATCGAACTTTAATGATCTACGAATATAAGGACGATTCCGGAGATTTGTTAGAGGATGCTTGGATACAAAACTTATCCAAAAAATCCAAACATTTTTAACTCAACCATTTTTTTTAACTCAACTTTAACTCAACCCAACTATCATTAATATTATTAATATAATTAAATAATATCAACCGATTATTCTTACACATCATATCAACCTTAATTCACTATTCATCAACTCATATAAATTTAACTAACCATCACTTCAAATCATCTCTATCTCTCTCATACCTTTACATCAAATCAACTTTAATTAATTTATTTAAAATATTATTTTAATATACCCACTAACAACTAACCATACCACATTTTTCAAAATTAACCAAACTAAACCAAAAAATCCAAACAAATCCAAAAATTGTTTATATACTGACTCGACCCAGACTTAAAAGTACCTAGTTTTTCACTCTCAGGCTTCAGCGGCAGCCCGCTCTGACGACTCAACCCAGCTCTAAGACCATCTCCAGTCCTTATCTCTACTCTAGTGTAGAGTTTACTCTACTCTAGAGTAAAGCTAAACAAAAATCAAATTTGGTCTCCAACCAAACAAAAATCAAATTTGGTCTCCAACCGTTCGCGCTACATTCTACTCCACATATATTATTCATATTATTTTAATTTATCTAACATGTTAAAATATTATTTAATTGAACATATTATTTTATAAAATAAATATATCATGATGTTAGTTGGTCTACTACAAGATTGAAATATTGTTGGACAAATAATTATTTTTATTTTATATTATTTGATTTATTTTATAGGAATTCATATAAATATAAAATGTTTAAAAATAATATTTTCATATAATTTTAAAATTAAATTATAAATATGGTACAAATATTGTCAAATAATAATGTTGAAGATAAATCAATTAGATATAATATAAAAAAGATAAAAAACAAATAAAAATTATAGAGTAATGAATAGTACCGCATCAGATATAGCGCGATACTGTTTATAACTCTAGAGTAAGTGCAGCGTTGGGACAGAAATTTTGTCTCTACTCTGTATTACGTCTATGTTTGGTTCAACTGAGGGGAGGGGAGGGGAGGGATTTTAATGGAAGGAAGGGGAGGGGAGAGGAGGTGATGTAAAATAATTTTACCTTGTTTGGAGGGATTTGGAGGGATTTTGTAGGAGGGGAGTGGAGGGAAAATGGTAAACCTTGTTTGGTTAGAATAATGGAGGGGAAGGAAAATATTGTAGAAATGACAATTATATCCTTAATGATGTAAGAAACAAAATAATAAAATAATTTATACATAAAGGATAATATAGTCATTTTATGTGTTAAAAATTTTCCCTTGGAGGAGGGATTTGAAGGGAAAATATCAATCCTTCCTCCTACAAAAAATTGAACCAAACAAGGAAAAATTATAAAATTCCCTCCCTCCCCTTCCCTCCCCTCAGTTTCCCTCGAACCAAACATAGTGTTAGAGTAACCCAGCATTGGAGTTGCTCTAACGTCTCAACTCCGGCGCTCTCAACCCACCGGAGCTCTCAATCCCGCTCTCACCCTCCGGCACTCTCAACCCCGCTCTCATCCTCCGGCGCTCACTCCTCTCTCACCCTCCGGCAATCTCAACGCTGCTCTCATTCCTCCGGTTTCGTCAATTTTGGTCAGCTCTCACTCTCTCACACTTCTTTTTTCCTTTTCTCATTTCGTCCTCTTTCTTCAGTCTCTGAACAACAACCCTAATTCTGGCTTTTCATTACATTTTGGGGCATTTTTATATGTTGAGAGCTATTGGATGTTTTGTTTTGATTTAGGTCAGTCCTTTTGTTTTGATGCTCGAACCCTGGCAGTAAGTTTGTTGAGGGTATTGGATGCGTAATTTCTGAGAATCAATCATTTGGTCTGAAAATCTTCGAACAGTTTTTTTTNATTTCTGCTCTATTTTTTTTTCTGCTTTGTATTTCTGCTGCCCTAATTTTTTGCTCTGTTTCTACTGTTTTGAGGGAATAGGAGTGCTGCTGTTTTATTTATTTATGGATGTACTATTGAACTTAGGTTATGGATGATATTGTTGTGTATTATTGAACTAATGTTTATTGTGGATTGTGGTTGTTTTGTTTTGTAATGGGAAGCTTAAGTCTAGTACATTGGTTCAATTTGTTGGGATGTTCCTCTCCAGGTTCCCAGTAAGCAAGAATTAAGGCTTAGTGAATTCCTCCAATGGCTACATTTGGCGCTGCTTCTACAAACGTCAACCCTAACCGTTCCTCTGAGGTAATTATAGTTTACTTGCTTCTTTTTAGTTTTGAGTAGTTTTTGCTGTACTTAATTTCTCTTCAAGGTTCTCCATCCAATATTTTTGGTCTGGAAGTGTTCTGGTAATGTGTATTCTTTTATATAATTGCTAATTTCGAATTTATTTCTGCTTGTGGAAAGGTGGCGCAACCTCCAAGTGATTCAGTATCAAGCCTATGTTTCAGTCCTAAGGCAAATTTTCTGGTCGCTACTTCATGGGATAATCAGGTATAGTTGTTTTTAGGTTTGCTAACTATTAGTCCTTTTCGTGTTTTCTTGTACTTCTTATCCCTTTTAGATCCTTTCTGTTTTCCTATATGTACATTGCAATGTAGTATATTTGGTAGTTGTGAGGGGTTTCCCCATGTCTATTCATGAAGATTAGGGTTTAGTTTTGTTTGTATTGACGGTCGTATGGGCTATGTCTTGCCTTTTAATTAGGTACCAATATTATTTCTCAATTTTCTTGGTTGAGAAAAAAGTAGTTTAGAAATTTTTCTTTTTCTTAATTTCAATATCTATCTCTGGTGGACAGACATGACATGTATTCTTTCATGGATGGGGCCAAGTTTGGAAAATGTATGATCCCTGTTTCTTTTTGTGGATGAAAATAGCTAATTTGGTTCATCTTATGCCAAATTCTTGTTAGGTAAGATGTTGGGAGGTAATGAAATCAGGAAGCACAATCAACACTGTTCCGAAGGCATCAATATCTCACGACCATCCGGTAATATTTCATTTTACATGATCATATAACTCGTGAAATTTTTGCTCCTTGATAACTAACTGTGTAAGCTTGGCCACCAGGTCTTGTGCTCGGCTTGGAAGGATGATGGCACAACAGTGTTTTCTGGAGGCTGTGACAAGCAAGTCAAGATGTGGCCGCTGTTATCTGGTGGTCAGCCGGTTACTGTTGCCATGCATGATGCTCCTATTAAAGAGCTCGCTTGGATCCCAGAAGTGAATCTTCTAGCCACTGGCAGCTGGGATAAAACAATAAGGTGAATTCATTTGTTATTTAAACTGAGAAGTCAAGCACCTGTAGAGTACTGACTTTTTAGTATATGTGAAACGTTGTTTGAATTAGTGGTGAACTTTAGTGAGTAGCTCTTAGCTTCATATGCACTTTTTGGCATTTAAGATTTCTACTTATTTCCAGTTATGAGTTATCATTTGCATGTAAATGAGGCAAAATCTGTGTGGCTGTTTATATGTTATATTGTCTCGTATTTATTGGCTTTGGAAGAGTACAAATCGCTTCAAGATGTGTAGACTCTTGACCAACTTGGGTTATTTTTCCTTTCAAGTTTCATTTTGTTGATTTAATTAGTATTGGATCTTCCCTAAAGAAAATAGTGTTATGAGTGTCAGATTTTTTTCTTTCTCAAATTATATGTAACTTGAAAGAAAAAACATTTGAGAGTA